TCGGCCTCCCACTTATCTCTGTCTTATCTGTGTCGCTTCTTTCGTTCTGCTAAGTTTAGACTTAGCTTGTTCTTTTTCTAGCTCCTTGGGAGGTAAAGTGGGGTTGTTTATGGGAGATCCTGCATTTATCACTATGCACTTCCGCCTTGCAGCTGCATCAACAGCATTCTGTAAGTCTGGGTCTGAAGTGTTCCATTTTAGTCTCAAGATATGTTTTGATACCCTTCTTGATGTCTCCAGTGACTGTTCAGGAGTGTGTTGATTTCCACAGATTTTTTTTTTTAAAGATTTTATTTATTTATTTGACACAGAGAGACAGCGAGAGAGGGAACACGAGCAGGGGAGCGGGAGAGGGAGAAGCAGGCTTCCCGCGGAGCCCGATGCGGGGCTCGATCCCAGGACCCCGGGATCATGACCTGAGCCGAAGGCAGACGCTCAACGACAGAGCCACCCAGTCGCCTTCCACAGATTTTTGAATCTTCCGGTTTTCCTCCTGTTATTGGTTTCTAGTTTCACACCATTGTGATTGGAAAAGATTCGTGATATGCTTTTGCTCTTCCGAGACCTCGTCCCCTGACCCCACAGCCTTCCACACACAAGCCTCTTACTGAGATCAGTGAACACCTCCCTTAGACCTCTGGATTCTTGCTCACCCTTCATTTTATCCCACCTGGACTTTTTGGTCCCTCGGTTTTGCGATTCAGAATGTGTCCAGGGTTTTCAGATAGGACTGTTTCACAAGATATTTAGTTTGCCACACTGCCAGAAAGTAGATGTCCAAAGAAAACTTCCTTAATTAATAGAAGATATCTATAAGAAGTCAACAAAGAGGGGCACCTGGGTGGCTCAGTCGGCTAGGCATCCAACTCTTGGCTTCAGCTCAGGTCATGATGTCAGGGTTGTGGGATCAGGCCCCGCATCAGGCTCCATGCTCAGTGGGGAGTCTGCTTGGGACGCTTTCCTTCTCCCTCTGCCCCTCCCCTTTGTGCTCTCTCTCTCTCTCGAATGAATAAATTTTAAAGAAAGAAGTCAACAAGGAAAACACGGCTCAATGATGGGACATTAGAAGCAGGAACAAGATGAAGTGGTTCCCTACTTTACATGGCACCAACTCTTGTTCTCACTTGCAGAAACTCCTATGCACAAGGAAATACTGTGGGAGGTACATTCGCACATTTGGTGGGAATGAGGAGAGCCTTGGACACCATGCAAAGGAACCCGGATGCTTTGCATGGAAGGTGTTTATTTAGAGGAATAACATGATCTGACCAGTGGTTGGGGAACATATTTCTCTGGCTCAGAGCATGACTGGAGAGGCGAGACAAGTCAGGGTCTCAACAAGTCCTCAGATGATAAGGAGGACTGGCTTGGGCAGAACATGAGGTGATGGAATGGATGGGAAATTGCGAGCTGAGTGCTGGTACGTGCCCCTCAAGTTTCTAGCCCTGGAGTCTGGGGTCCTGGTGTGGCCTTTCACCAACACAGAGCACACACAGGAAGGGTTGAGCGGAAGACGGTACGAAGGGAAGGCATGCGGCCTGTGTGGTGGTGGTGGTTAGCTGTCCAGGAGGCAGAGGTTGAGTGAATCTTAAGGTTTTGAGATAGTTGAGAATCATCAGCATAAAAGTGGGGGAAATAATTTGCAATTTAGAACAAAATCCTATTGCATCTTTTTGTGCCTCGTAAGGGTTGGGTCATTCATCTCCTGGGTAGAGAATGCTTTTGTTTGGGAAAACAATTGAGTTGGACATCTAGTTTAAGGAAAATAAAGACTTCCGCGTGGAATGCCTTAATGGGAGAGCAAGAACAGACGAAAATTAAGTACTTGGTATAATAAAGTGAGAGGCCAAATCCCCTTGGTCAGCTTTGGATAGAGCTGGTGAGAAGCCAGACAAGTGGGAGAAAATGGGGGTTTGAGGAGCACTTGGGAAACAGAGAGTCAGGGCCCTAAGGGTGGACATGGCCAACAAGGAACCGCGATGATGAGTGATGGCAGATGTTTTTGAGAGTGAGGACTGATGCTCAGATGGGAGTGGCTTCCTTCTCTGTGGTACGTGCCCTGTGTGACCTCTGGGGCTTCGGCAGAACGTGGCCCCGCAGTCAGCCTCCTGCCAGGGCAGCCCCCTGGCGTCAGCATGGGGAGGGCTGGCTCAGGAGGCATGAGACTCCTCCAGGCCACCTTGACCCAGCGTGCCTCAGTGACTCCGCTTCTTGTATCCAATCTGCATGCCATCTGTCGAAATCCTTGGTTTTCCCAAACCAACGCAAATGCCACCTCTGTGGAGCACTCCCAAACCCCCCAGATGAACTGTACGCTGCGTCTGCGCACAGTACCTGTTTCAGCAAACACTTGCCTTGCTTGTTCTCACGCTGATGTTACTTCTGCATCAGCCTCTCTGCTGCCGGCCGGCTCCCGAGCTCCTCTGGGTGAGAATGTGCTTGGTTCTCAGCCCTGAGGGCCTCTAGCCTCTCCTGACAGGGGCACGGTCTGCCGTTCGTGCCAACTTGAGCTGTCTGGTTCGCGGAACAATATTTCTGATTGTCAACTCACAAATCGGCATTGTTAATACTAGTTTTGTGAACTCAAACTTGGTGAATGGGAAGGAGGATTCTGCTCTTGGTGTGCCCGACGAAGGCCATACACGCGGCCAAACTCAAAGTGTGGGAATGAACCTGGTATCTGCGGTCTCATTCTGCTGCGTCTGCTGCTGAGAAACTGCAAGCAGCATCCAGACACGGAGAAAACACACTGGTAAGGGGACCCCAGCATCCCTGGCTGTTCCGTGGTGGCTGTCGGCCCCTTTAGGCGAGGTGACAGAGGGAACTGCCACCACATAAATTAGTTACCCAATTTCACCGGGAAGGACGGGACCTAGTGTCAGGTCCTGGAATGGGCTGAAAAGTAAGAGTGTACATGGTTCCCGAAACGGGCTGCAGCGTCACAGCACGAAGCGAGAGGATCAGACCTACAGAGACCCTGGGTGGTAGCCAGTTAATCAGGGAGCCCCTGGGCAGGAACGTGTGGGCAGGGACTGACATCACCCTCAGTCTGAATAAGCGAACCGTCCTCATGGCTGGTGGACAGAGACGTCACTACACAGCCACAGCCCTCCTCCAGATTCCCAGGACTGAGTCAGCTCACAGACCCAGAACGTCTCTCCTAGAGGGATGGCGGGGTCCCCTGACCCTCCAACAACAGTGGGGAGGGCACAGTAGAGACCTACAGGGTGACCGCTTTCCTCCAAGATGGTAAAAATCCAAAAGCAGTATTGCTTTAATGGGAATTCCGGAGAGGAGTCACAGGACCCGTGCCCATCTGACCTGTGACGGAGGCATGTGGGTGTGGTGGGTGGCCAGGGGCTGTCACACATTTAATCGGATCAGAACCCAACTGCAGACGCTGCCCCACGCAGGGTGGTTCCTCTACTGGAATGGACGGCCCCAACGACCGCTCTGGCGCACCTCCTTGTACACCCGCCACAGGACCTACCAGAAGCAGCCTGTGTGCACCTCCGTGGTGGTGTGGAAGGGCCGGGTCACCCGTCCAGTGCTCGAGTACGCCGGGGACCCGCAGACACCGACGCTCTCACCCCCGGCGTCGGGGGCAGAAGCATGAGGATCATCCTGCAGGTAACTGTCCTCCTTTCAAGCTCTGGGCTGCCTTCCAGACGCCAGGACAGACTCGGACGCTGCGCTTCACCAGGGATACCTGGTTCCCACAGGACTTGAGCTGGTCAGTGCACCGTCTGACCCTTCGCGGCCTTGGGCTGGGCAGTCGCTGGAGCATGTCATCGTTAACATACAAGACTGGGTTCAAGCGTGTCCTGAAGGCACCGCAAGCAGATGGCTCAGTCTCCCAGCACCTATGGCAACAACGCCCTCATCGCGTGCCCGTGGTTGCCCAGAGCTTCCTCTGAGCGGCTGCCGGTAAAAAAAGGTGTTTGTTTGTTTGTTTTAAAGATTTTATTTATTTGAGAGAGTGAGAGAGAGAGCACATGAGAGGGGGGAGGGTCAGAGGGAGAAGCAGGCTCCCCGCTGAGCAAGGAGCCCGATGCGGGACTCGATCCCGGGACTCCAGGATCGTGACCTGAGCCGAAGGCAGTCGCTTAACCAACTGAGCCACCAGGCGCCCAAGTTTTTTTTTTTTTTATTAAGATTTTATTTTAGAGAGAGGGACAGAATCTCAAGCAGACTCCACACTGAGCACAGGGCCCAACACAGGGCTCCATCTCACAGCCCTGAGATCACGACCGGAGCCGAAACCGAGAGTCGGACATGTCACCGCCTGAGCCCCCCAGGCGCCCCGCCTGTAAAACAGTTCTACTTGATTTCTCAAGAATAACGCTGGTACCAGCTAAAGGTGAAAACCGGTGGCACGAGAGCCCCAAGGGTGATCCTGAAAGCAGTGTGGCAGGGGGCCGCAGATCTAGCACCGCATGTCATTGTCCATGTTACCTGGAGAGCGCCGCCAAGAAAGCGGGCAGTGGCGGTCAGGGCCTCGGAAGGGACAGCACTGGGAATCAGTGGCAGGTGGGACCTCAGCTGAGGGCCGAGGAAGGGGAAGCGGCTAGAACTCCCGGAAGGAGCAACACGCAGATGCCATCTCCCGTGGGGGCGCTCACCCCTGGAGTTCAGGGACATGACGACCCGTCTGTGGGCGTCGTGACCTTTCCGTGCCTGTCAGTGGCTCCCAGAAAGCCTTACTCGCTGCCGTGGTTCTGACAGCACTGCTTCTAAGAGGTCCATCTCCCACAGTTGTCCGGCAGCGAGGTCCTGGACTATCCCCACCGTGGCACAGGCTTCGCACTCCCAAGAGCCAGCTGGACAACATGGCAGGGTGCTCCGACTGGGATGCCAGCTTGTGGCGGTGCCTCGTGCCCTGAACTGCCCTCAGTACCTGACGACGTGGTCTTTCCCACACCAGAACACACAGCGGGAGAAGGCATGTGACGCAGGGACGGTTCACGAGATCTCAGGATTTGGGGCTCCGCTGGTGTGAATATCTGTTCCTAAGGGAGATCTCCACAGAGGGACACAAGTGTCCCATTGGCCTCTGCAGGCTGAGAGGCCACCCGGCTGTACTGGACACCTCATGCCAACGAACCAAAAGGCAAAGCCGGTTGACTGTCACAGCTTAGGCCACTGCTCCCCACTCCCTTGGGGACAGGCCTACTGCCAGACAGGGGCAGGCAGGTGTGTGTCTGGAATTTAAGAGATCTTCTGGGGAACCTCCTAGAATTCCCATTTCCAGCAATCAGAACCAATGGAAAACGAGTTGCCCAAACCAGGAAGACGTCTTGGAGGGAGACCTCTCAGGAATAAAGTCTGGGTCAACCCACCAGGTGAGGTACCACCAACAGAAGTGAGTGACTGAGGGCAGAGTAACATGGAATGAGTTATAGAAGAGGGAATTTTTAATACCAACATCTGCCAGCTCACCAGGTGCAAAAGCACAGGAGTTCCACCTATCTCCTCATGTGCTTGGTAAATATATTTTCTTTTATTTCCCCCTTTTCATTGAGCTCTAACATCAGAAGGGTTTAGAGTGGCTAATACCATAAATTATCTTTTAAATTAGAGTATGTCCAAGGGAGGGTGTGACCGCTGGAAAAGAACATGTCGCAGGGGCAGAAGCCCGGACGCGGGGGCTCCGGGGTCTACACCTGCACCAGAGGCGGCCACATCGCAGGGGCAGAAGCTCGGCGCTCTCTGTCCTTACCCAGAGTTTAGTTTAAAAGGGGTGGTGGGGGCTGAGTTGGCAAAGGGATGGATGGAATGTGCTGCAATGTCTGTCTTCCCACAGCGCCACCCCTTCCCTCTGAGGTCTCCTCGGCACTGCTCTCCGACAGCAGAGAAGCCTGAAACACACAGAGTGGGCACCGTTCCTTGTATTAGAGCATGGGCTAGAACCTGCCTGGGAGGTAGGGACGGTGGAGAGGCCACAGGTCACTGTGCGAGGCCCAGCGCACATGCAGACCTGCGGCTGGGGACGGCCTCACGGCGGGTGTGAAGCTGCCGATGATGGATGCTCCCGACGACTGCAGTGGCCCAGAGAGAGCCCTCGGAAATCAGACTCCAGCTCTCCGAGCAGGACTGGAGCGACTGCACTCAGTCCTCGGCTCTCCCCGCTCCTACGCAAGACCCTCCTACCCACACATGTGCCAGGGCTCCTACTCTCCTGGCCACAGACGGGCAAACCTGCTGCCTGGCACCGTCTGCCCACCATACCTTCCTCCCCAACTCTGTCCCATAGGATCTGGATCATCCAACCTTGCTCCCCGCTCCAGGGATGAGGCTGGACTGGCCCACGTTCTTTCTCCGTGCCCCAGTGGTAGCTCAGGAGTGGAGCCTGCCCAGTCTGGCCGGTAAAGACAGGGGGCCGGATGACCTGGCCACAGTGACCATTTTCAAGAGTTTGCTGGGTGACGTGTGGGTATAAAGCTCCCCCTGGACACTGTGTGATGGTGGACAAAATGCTGCGGCCATTTGGTCCCAGGAAGGTACCCAGCCTGAGGTTCACACAAACGCGGAAACAGCAATTCAGAAAACTGCAGAGAAACGGAACTTGATCCCTGATCAATCAGAGCCTGCAATCCACTCTACCTTTGACTTTTCAATTTCCATGCTAGTAAAGCCTATTCAGGCTGAGTTTTCAGATGTAGCCAAAAGCATCTTGACTTCTAAGGGTTTTCATAAGCCTCCTTTACTTGTGGATTTCTTGGCTAAATGTATTAACATCTGTTTCTTCTTACTGAAAGTCCAAATTTTCAACAGAGCTGTATGTGTAAGATTGATCGTTTTGTTCCACTTGTTCTCCTGTTGGCTGGTGTAAGTCACCAGGTTCTCCACGTACTGCAAGATCGACTTTAAGAACCTGTTTTAACGAAAAGAAATTAATTTCTTTATTCTATTATAAAATGCAACAATGATTTAAATGCACTCTTTTCATTTTGGAATTTAAAGTACTGCACTTAAGGGGCGCCTGGGTGGCTCAGTCGGTTGAGCGTCTGCCTTCGGCTCAGGTCATGATCTCAGGGTCCTGGGATCGAGCCCCGCATCGGGCTCCCGGCTCCGCGGGAAGCCTGCTTCTCCCTCCCCCACTCCCCCTGCTTGTGTTCCCTCTCTCGCTGTCTCTCTCTGTCAAATAAATAAATAAATAAAATCTTCAAAAAAAAAAAAAAAGTACTGCACTTGATTTTTGTCTGTAAATTCAAATAAAAGAACCACATGCAAAACGGAAGTGAGAACAGAAGCTAGAGGAAGAGATGCTGAATCGTACGTGTCCCTGGAGAGGTGGCTGGACCCTAGACGAGGTACACGCCCGAGCACCTTGTTAAACTCACTCTCACATCAGGTAGGATGGTTGCACGTGATGGAACTGCATTCCAGAAAAGGCGTCAGAGACTGCCTGGATTAAATGCCATGTGAGCATGCAATGCACACAATGGGGAGCGTGCAGGCCCTGCAGCCCCACAGGGGTGCCTCTCTGGCCCCGGGCATCCCACACCTGCCCTCGCAATGCAGGTGCACTGCCTCCCGGGAGACACTTTCCACTCGGACACAGCACTGCTGAGGTGTTTATCAAACGGTTCCCGGGCTCTTCTCCAACAGGTGGGGTCAGGTCCTGCTTCCATTTTCCGAGTTCTCCCCAGTTTGCCAAGTAGGCTGGCAACATTCCCCAACTTCTAATTCTGAGTATTTTCAAACTTAGAAGTTAAAGGAATAATATAATGAAAGTCCACAGATCCTTCATCTAGAGAGTGGTCCTCAGCTGGGGATGACTGTATCTGGCAACGTCTGCATCATTCTGGACTGTCACCATGTGGAGCTCCCGGCACGCAGTGCTGGGGGCCGGGGGCCGGGGCGCTACTCCCACCATGCACGCTCAGATGGCCTACCACAGACGACCCCCCCAGTGCAGAATGGGGGGGCGGGGGGGTCACCTGGAGCCACCGATCCATAACATTCTGCGTGGCGGCCTCCCTGGTTCCCACCTGGGTTCCACGTTTCCTTAAGAAAATACCAGTCCTACTTTCACATTTACTTTAAACACGAGGTACGTGCTACCTGCAATATCACTCTCTGCATGCTGGTGGTGTTAGGACACAGAGGAATTCTGAAAGCGTTTGCAAGCTCATCACACTTAATTTTCTGAAATGAGCCTACATGGGTGTTAGTTTTAAAGGTTCACAAACTTGCACCAAAATCCACAGAGAAAAACAGTAAAGAGCCAACCAAGACTGTGGGCTTAAAAAAATAATAAAATAAAATAACCAATAGAAGTAAAATCACTTAAATTTACTAAAACAGTTTCATTTCTTATACATACAACACACTTACTTTAGATACTGTTGATATTCATAAGTATTTTTTCCATGAACCACATGAATGTTGACCAATTCCAGGGCAATCAGCAATAAAATCAGGTAAAGCACAGGAGACAGAAGCTTAATACTAAAATAGATGAAGTTAAAATTTGACAAACTTAAGAATTTTGAACTTTCATGGGTGAAAACTCCTTTTCAAGGGAACTTGAATTCAGCCTTCTCAAGGCTTCTCTGTGGCGGTTTCCCTGTGGGCCCCCGCCCCACCACAGCCCACCGGCCCCAGCCCCTGCCCCCAGAGTGCCGGCCAGCCGCCGCCGGCCTCCCAGCCACCACGGCTCAGGAGCAAGACGGCACCGGCTCTGCGTCCAGCAGTTGCTCTGGGTCTCTGTCTGCAGCGTCTGTCCTATAGTCTGGTATTTGGTAAATGACTCTCACAAGAAGAAACACAAATGGCTCAAACCTGGGAATGTGTTCAATGTCTCCAGGACACAAAGATATTCCGATCAAAGTAAGATACTATCTTGCTCATGAAACCGGTAGAGAATTTTTCTGAAATATACCGTTTGGGGAAGGATGTAACGTAACAGGCATCATCTTATAAACTGCTGGTTAGAGTGTACCTTTCAGAAGCAGCCAAGGAAAACCCGTTAAAAGCTTTATAGATACAGATACCACTCAACCCAGAGTTCCAGGAATTTGTCCAAAATTGTAATTTCTTAAGGATGTAGAACATCCTAAAATACACAACAGGTAAGGAACCAGAATGCTGGCATACCCAAGTTAACTTGCTATTAATATTTTAAATCCAGATATTCATTTGGGTCAGTGGCACCCATATTCTCTCACACCAAAATCACAACAGTATTTAACATACTATGTGTCCTCTGCAAGTGAGTATTCCCCTGAAAGTAGGAATCAGAGCTGCATCCCAACAGAACCCCTGCCCAGTGGGGCGTCTCCGGACCAGGCCCACGAGCCACACACCTAGTGAGCATGTGCAGGTAGGTCTGCCTCTGCCGGGAGCGCAGCCTCCTTTCCACCCACTGCTGGTATCTCAGCTCCACAGAGGCAGCGACCTGGCTGGACACGCGGGCGCAGTGTGTGCTGATGTTTCGGAGCACAGTGAGCACTTCCAGAACGGTTCTGGGACAGAAGAGAGTTGGGACAGGGGTGCCGCAGAGTTCCTGGATCACCTGGGGCCACCTGGGGATTAGAGTGCGAGTTCTCATGGGGTATGTTCACTGCCCGGGCCCCCCGATGGTCAGCTTCTGGGGAGCAGTGGTCGTTACACAGTGTGCTCAGTTCTGCAGGCCTCACACACACGCACGCACACTTAATTGTGGGGGGCAGAATGTGCAGGAGAGCTCCGTCAGGCACAGCAACGCCTCACAAGCCATGGAGGGTGGGCTCCCCGGTCTCTGGCGGCACAACCACAGTGGGGTCGAATGCTGCCTCAAGCTCACAAACGTTACGACACAGAAAACAGCTGAGTGTGGGGCCCCGACACGGCTGGTCAGCGCTCCAGCAATTCCCGACACTTCTCGGAGACTCACCTCTCGGCGGAAAGACTGTCCCAGTCGCTGACAACACCACGGCTCTCGGGCAAGTGGGGGGGCAGCGCTCTCAGGATTTCTGTGATTAAAGCCTCGCAGGCCTGTGTTTCAGAAGTACCTTCTAATCTGAAAAACAGAAGATATGCAGATACAGCCCAAGCAGTGCCGTGCAAATGTTTAATGGTTCACTTAATCTGCAACGTAGTTTTCCCAAATATAAAATGAAAAAGCCACTGTCAGAGGCAATGGTAAAAATAAATGATAGGCTAAAAGCAACATACATTGTAGACAAAAGATAAGCAACAAACCGTCTAAGTATTATTTCTACAAGATGGATCTACTATATCCTGACTCCAAAATCTCTCTCCATCCCTACTTCTCTCCTGACCTTTAGATCCTATGTCTAATCACCCGCTAAATACTTCGAGTGGACCCCATCCCCCTCCCCACAAAGGCTGCCTCTGTTCCTGTGATCCTGGTCTCCCCAAATGGCCCACCACCGGGCTGGGCCCTCAGCGGGGAGACCGCGCCCCCTGCGCCTCCACCGAGTGGCCTGCCCTGCTCACCGAGGCCTAGCAAGCCCCCTGCACTTCGTCTTCCCATGACGCCGCTGGGACCTCACATGGAGGTTGGCATCCACTGGGGATGGTGAGATCTGCATGACCCCGGACAGAACTCACCTGGCTGCCTCCTCGGCCTCTTCAGGCAAAGGCAGGAGGGGCCAAACCCTGATGCTCTTCTCACAGCTCAGCACCTGAGAGGAAAATGTCCTACTGCTTTTAAAGATTTTACAGTAACCGTCTGGAAAATATTTCTGTAACCATTATGAACGTAGCAATCACTTTCTAGGAGATATATATTGGCAAAATTGTTACAGATCTTACAACATTTTAAAACTAGGTGGTGGGTCTCAGTTATTCAATACCATCAGATAAGCGAAGGCCAGTAAAATTAACAGGAGATTAGAAGGTAGTTAATATGCGGAGCGGGTGTAAAACGTACCAGCAAACTCTTGACGCCCCTGCTGTTGAGAGCTGAGGTCCTCGCCCCCTCCCAAATCAGGACATGCTTTGGTGAGTGGCCTTCCCCCCGACAACACAATGTAAGTGAGGGTGTGTGTGATTCTGGAAGCCAGGTCAGACAGGGCGGCACCTCTCCCTGGTTCACTGGGAGGCGCCGCACCAACTTCTCGTCTTCTCAGATGGAACACCGAACCAGGGGAGCCCATGCCAAATCTCTGACTCACGAAAGTGTAAGCAAATTAAACACTGACACCACTGAATGTGGGTAATTTATGCAGCTGTAAACAGAGCAATGACCTTAAAAAGAATGGGGTGCAAGACCGCTAAACAAAAAAGGAATACATCACGGGCAGCAAGAGTAAGAAGCTGCAGGGGAGGGGAGGGTCAGAGACACCCACTGGGGGCACAGAGGGGCCTCCACCAGGGCCGTGACGGCAGCGGCCAAGGAGCAGGCGGGCTCGTGAGGCTGGAGATTTGGGGCGGAGGTCTACAGGCAAATCCTGCCTTCCTGAAGCTTCCCTTCCTTCTGGGACGTCCCTTCTCTGTCCCTTCCCTCCTCCCTTCTGACTCTGCAGGTCAGGGTGCTGCAGACACCTGGCGTCCTCCCTTGCAGCCCGATGACTCGCTGCTGAACTAGAACCCACGGGGCACAAGTATTGGGGCTGAATTCTTCCCTCACGTAGCACCAGGAGAGTAAAACACCTCTAGAACTCTCTGCACGCCCACTGCCGACAGCCCCTTCTAGCTGACACTATTTCTCTTAAGACGTCATCAGTGACACTCTGTCCTCTCAGGCAGTTTCTTCCAGCTGCCGCTGTAAATCTCTCCCTAAACCCTTATGTGCGGACCCCACAGCTTCCATTAGAGGCCAACTCACTAATGAATGTCTGCATTAGAACGATCATGACTATTCTACTCTTAGACACCACCCCATTCTTGCCCCTTTTGCACACTCATATCCAGCTACGTGGAAAATAAAGCACCCAAGCTCATTTCCATACTGGAACCTCCTGGCAGAAATGCTTCAAAGTCTGTGGTTTCCATGATCTAAGTTACACGGGAACAAGCTCTGGTCTCACCTGGTAAAAGGAACACTGCCCGAGTTAAGGCAACAACCTGCTGACCCAGCAGCCACACCTCAAGTACTAAAATCACCGGAAACAACAAACACCATCATTACTGTTCTGCTGGACAGGGGATGTGAGGCTCGGAGGGACAGAGCTGTGTGGCCAAGGCCACCTCCTGAGCACAGCCTCCAGTCGCAACCCTGAGGTCCAGCTTGCCAGGCCGCCTGGACCGGTGGGCATCTCTGCCACAGGTGCCGTGCACACCCCTCCCGACAGCCCATGTGCGGCTCACCTGTTTTTTAAGCTGAGAAACTGGGTGGAAGTGGGCGTGGTAACCCTCTGCAAGACCAACCAGTGATTTTATCGCTGCTTTTTCCTGGTTCAGAAAAAACAGACAAGGGTTACCGCGACATGTGGTCAGGCCCCTGGTTTTCTCCTGCTGAATTCGAGTCACATGAGAGCCCCCGTCTCACCATGTTCCTTCAGCTATAACAGAGCAAGACTTCACCAGAACAGGTCTGAGACAGTGGTCAAATCATAACCAACAGAGGTGTTTTAAATGAAACCAATTAACAATGATAAATAACAAAGGCCACATCTGCTCTTTGTCCAAAATCAGTGGCACTAGAAATACATAAGAAAGAAGAAAGGCTCCAAACTGGAAAATAAGAATGTCTCCAAAAAAAAACAGAATGGGAATTTAAACATTAAAAATCAGTACGACCAAAAGAGTCACATTGCTAAACATGTAAATGTTGAAAAAAAGAGTAAAAATAACATTATTTACAGCTGATATAACTGTGTGGCTGGAAAATCCACACTGGCTGACTAAAAACTATCAGAAACAGAAAAGTCAGTGAGTTGACAGCTGACTAACTTAATATACCAATGATCAATCAGTCGCTTTCCCACACAGAAGCAGTAACTCCCCAGAATTCTCAAGAGCACAAAGAGAGTCACTAAATATCCAAACGCAAACCTTTCATTTGCTCAAAGACCCAAGTCCTACCGCACAGCAGAGAGGTTCTGTGCACAAGGCAGGCGGGCCGACCTCCTCGTGGGGCAGCTGCAACTCACACGTGTGAAGACTGGCGATGAAGCCACAAGAGGCCCCGGGCCCGGCAGAGCACACGGCTTCTCACACGGCTTCTCGTCTGAGACCGGGGGAGGGGGGAGGGAGGGCCTACGGAGGACCCCTCTGGCTGCTGCACTAACAAGAGAACAGGGGGCCACCACAGGGAGGGCAGCTTGGCCCAGCACACGGCACAGGAGGACGTGGACAAGTAAAGACAGGAGATTCTGGCCTCTGGATGGCACTGCCACTTAGGGGGAGGCTCTGCGAGGGAAGCCTGAGGACACAGAGACACCACGTTTGGGAATAATGTTCACTATTGTAAAAACCATCAATTGCTCCTAAATGAATCCATCAATAGCCCATTCCTGTTTATTGCTTGGTTAGTCTTGGGCTTTGTGTTTATTTTAACAAGTTTGCCTACAATCCTAATAGGGAGGAGGTGGGGAAATTCTGAAAGAGAAGAGAGATGGGAAAGTAACCTGACAGACACGGAACTCTGTCACAAAGGTGAGTACGGGTACACAAGGAGACCAAGTCCACCGCACACACTACAGAGATGTTTGTCTTTCATTTTTTTTTTTTTAAAGATTTTATTATTTATTCGACAGAGAGAGTGAGAGAGTACAAGCAGGGAGGAGTAGTAGAGGGAGAGGGAGAAGCAGGCTTCCCGCTGAGCAGGGAGCCTGACGCGGGGCTCGATCCCAAGACCCTGGGATCATGACCTGAGCCGAAGGCAGACGCTTAACCATCTGAGCCACCCAGGGGCCCCAAGATGTTTGTCTTTCAGATGCTCTTAGGCCAACTTGCAAGCCTTTTGTCTAAGAAAGAAAAAAAAAAAACACAAAAAAACAAAAACAAGTAAACCTAGATTCTCTCACTCCCTGATGAAAAATTCCAGCTGGATCAAAAGATGTAAATAGGAAAAAACCCTATAAAGGTACCAGGGAAATGCATGTATATGTTCATAATTTTAGAATGCAGAGTCTTTTAAGAATAATTCCAGGGGCGCCTGGGTGGCTCAGTCGTTAAGCGTCTGCCTTCGGCTCAGGTCATGGTCCCAGGGTCCTGGGATCGAGCCCCGCATCGGGCTCCCTGCTCCGCGGGAAGCCTGCTTCTCCCTCTCCCACTCCCCCTGCCTGTGTTCCCTCTCTCTGTGTGTCTCTCTCTGTCAAATAAACAATAAAATCTTAAAAAAAAAAAAGCTTTTAAAAAAAAGAATAATTCCAAATGCATAAGCCAAAATAAAAAGACCTCAAAACTTCAAGACAAATAAGGAGCAACACAAACATTGGAGCGGTAAATGCGGCTAATAAACCATAAAAACGCATAAAATGGAGCAAAAGACATTAATCATTCACAAAAGAATCACATTTCCAACAAATAAAAGCAAAGTAACACAAAACATGGAGATAAAAACATGGTCTTACTGGTACATTTGCTTCAGAACTGTACTTGAACAAATTCACTTACACATGTGCCCAAGTGAACAAGGGTGTTTACTTGAGACACTGTAATCAGGAGCGTTCCACACGTCAGAACTCACCCATCCTTGAGGGATAGCTTATATACATGAGGATATACTGATAAAAAATGTCAGACGGCTGGTAGAAATCAGGTAGAAGGAGTGCTGATCACTAACAGGTTTCTTCCTCTAGCTTTCCCGTGTGCTCGTGGGCCAGATGCCCACCCGCGAACAGTGCTCACCCCACAAGAAGGCCTTCCTGAGTGCTGTCACTTTTCCTACCACGTTTTCCGTTTTGTCTGAACCTCTCAACAATCTTTACAGTAACTGTGACATGCATAATTTGAAAAACAGATTAGAATATCAATAACTAACCCAAATTATTTGTTATAAAATAATAAAAGAATTAGTTTACTGATTGATGCAAATATTCCATCCGACCAATTTGTCACTTGTAAAATTTTCTGATATATTTAATTTGTTTTATACTGTTCTTTGGTTTGATCACACAATATCAGTTCACCTGTTGCAGTAAATATATGCACATAATCAAATCAAGCCACAATTACGTGTTCTGATGGAGGCATACTATAACTCACACAAATTTAAAGAAAAGGTGATTAAGGGTTAATTACATCTGAAAATAAGTTGTATTCTGTCACAGCTGAGTAACAGTGCATCTAATGGTTCTCTTCCTTATACATTACCTTAAGGGCTGCTGACAGATCTTCATCAGTGAATCTGAGTAAAAGTACAACGGAAAATGCAAGCAATTGGTTTGCTGCCTCTTTCGGAAATTCAGGTAAGTTGATTTCCCCATGGCTTAAATGGTCTCTTATACGGGGGCCCTCCTGATGGTTTAGGAAATCCCAAAGAAACTCCTTTCAGAATATAAACAGAGAAAATATCTTGTTAGTTTTCTCAACTGAGGGAAGAAAGAATGGGCCACGCCTGACCTATCTAGGGAACAGCAGTGTCGGCTTACAGAGATGAGGAAACTGAGCTTCAGAGACAGTTAATCAAGGTAATACAGCTGAGGTTCCATGCTGGGTTCCTCCCTGGGAACTCGGTCCCTAACTGCAGCCCGCCGCTTGGGGGCAGGACCCTCCCTGGGAAGCCCTGGTCTCTCTAACTGCCCCCCGCTGCTTGGGGAGGACTGACAAGGAAGTGGACAGCACCAGTGCTTTAGTAAAACTCACCAGGTCTTACTCACATCCCACTGAAGGAACAGGCAGAGGTGTCCACGTCTGGAAGCTAACTTTCCTCCTACCTCAACACAGCCCTTGCCCCTCCCTGTCCTGAGGCCTCTCTCAGATCTGTGCCCTCCTCTGTAAAGCCCCCCTGATGAGGACAGCTGCTTCTTCCCCAGTGCAGGCTGGAGCAGAAAGAGTCAGAAGTGCTGAGCCGGGCGAGTGGCTGGTGGACAGAGCAGTCCCGGAGATTCAGGAGGGAGACAAATGTCAGATAAACTAGCCCACTCACCCTCACTTCCTGCTGCCAGAAACGACACCCAGAGACTGCGCAGAATCCCACTAATGTCACACATTAGAACCTAGGCTGCTAATAATGCTCAGTGAAAAGGAAGAAATATAAAAACTCTACTGAGAGTCCGAAGTAGCCACTGTAATAGCTTCATAAAAAAAACAACAGTGTTAAGCAGGAAACGGACCCGGCTGGACATCACTATCTGCCCCCTCCAGCACCACAGTCCCCGCTACACACTCACAGGCCACCTGGGGGCAGGGCAGCTCCAGCAGCAGGCCTCAGAGAAAGGGCCTTAAAGCCCAAGCTGCAGTCGGCCGCGAGCGTGACATTGAGACAGTGCGGGGGTGGTTCAGAAGCGCTCTTTGTGAGCAGATCACAAGCCAAGATTAACTCCATTTTGGAGAAGTGCTAACCACATCCATAAATAGGGGAATATGAGATCGGAAAAGGCCTAGTATTTTACCATTGCAGGCTCTCCAAGGAAAAGAGGAAGCTGATTGATTTTACCATCATCCAAGTGTTTTGCCAATATCTAAAACACCAAAAATAAATACATTAATTAATTAGTGCACACACATGTACATACAGAACCTTCAGAGTCAAAGGATGGAGCATCTTTGGTTACAACATGCTACAGAAGCCCAAGCAAAGGAAATAAGGACAGTCTTAAAGACAGAGCAGCCACCCGTTTTCTTAACCAGTATGATGACTTCAGGAATACATATGAATATGTATGTATCTTAACTGTGTGTGCATGGGTGTTTATGTGTACTTATATGCATATATGGATATGTGTGGTAATGCGTACACACGTGTGCGTGTTTATGTGTGGATGTGTATGGATGTGTGTGGATGTATATTTGTGTATTTGTGCATACATACACTCATGTGTATTACATGTGTATACGTGTATTTCTGCAGATTTGTGTACATCTGTGCATAACGCTTCTGTATCATCTGTGTGTTTACGTACATCTAGAAGTACACGCATGTATGTGTGTTCAAGTGTGTGTGTATTTACAGGTACTTACGTGTGTGTTCGTGTGTGTGTGTGTGTGTGTGTGTGTGTGTATGTGGATAGAAGTATAAATCACAGTTACCTTATACACCACTTCTTAACACACCAGTTTGGAACCCAACCACCCAGTCCAACGCAATAGACCCTAATCCCATACAGACAGGACTACATTATCTAATTTAATCCTCACAGCATCAAACATATTATGTATTAAATTATAGCAAATTATTTACCTCGTGGAATAAAGTCTACAGGTAAACAGGCACATTACCAATCCCACCCCCCACCCATTCACTAAGGGATCTAAGAGTTCTCTTAAAGGCAAAGTAATCTAAACACCCAAATCTCTCTACAGAGACTCTCCCTGTTTCCTCCTGTCAGCTAACTCTGTGAAATCACACTTCAGGCTATATGAGAATTATTATCCAGGATTACACACACATAAAAGCCTCTATACTCTAAAGTGATAAAAGATATTTTTAATGGCAATTTTTACTAGTCTAGATTTTCAGCTTTAGATTCACACACCCAATTCACAGATTAAATGCATCATTGCACTTACAACCGCAGTTCATGTATATTTCATGTGCAAAAGAAGTGTTAATCTTAAATCTAAAATGTAACATCTAAATAATCATAGCATATAATGTTAGTATCTCTTAGCATTTTCCAACGTTGCTCTTTCCTTAACTTCAGAAACTAGGTTAATCATACTGGATCTCAAAATTAGCCTGAAAACTACACTTTATAATAAAGTGAGGTTTTTTGCAGGTATGATTATCAACATTTTCTGTGTAGTAAAAAACAATGTTTTATTTGTTTCCAGATACTCCCTAAAAGTTTACTTACTTCATCGAAGGTGGTATAAAGAGCCGTGGACTTCAGAAAAGGAAAGAAAAGAAATAATTAAAACAAAATGTAAGTATTCAAAGGAGAAAAATCAATTCTAGCACATGGCCACAAATATGAAACCTTCTTTTGAAAATAAATCTAAACATAGCAGCACCTTGGGAAGAATGCCATTGGCATCGGGGCACATCATCGAAGAGGGGAACCTACGGTGAGCCTGGCAGTGGGGCCCTGTTCAAACTCTGCTCACCACGTGCTTCAGCTCAGGTTCTTCTCATCACACAGCACAACTCACACACACACACACACACACACACACACACACACACGCAAATGAGCATAACTGGATGTGCCCTCCCACAATCAGCCTGTGTTCTGCACGCTTCCTGGTGTGGTTGGTCCCGTCTACAGACACAGGCTCTGCAGCTGGCTCTCTCAACATCTACTCCCGGCTTCCGTGCTCCCTGGAAGCGAGACCCTGCGCACCTCCCCACCTAGGCTTCTCTGCAAAACGGGACATGAGTAGTGCCCATCCTGAAAGGCTGCTGGGGAATTCAGTAAGATTTTACACACACTGTGATGAAATCAGCATTCTGTGGAAGCCAGCTCTCAAAAAAAGTGTCTCATTTAACGTATTTTCAATTTAACATTAAAAAATTTCCTTCAGCATTTATTACGACGTAGAGACCTATAAAGTCTGTATCCTTATAGCTCCCAAATGTATGCTACTGACCCTAAAACTTTTCCTGAGCTCTAGTCGAAGTATCCAACTGCCTACTAAATACTGAACTTTTCACTGATCTCCATAAACTGCAGGCATTAACTTCTACCCTGTTTAAGGAATGGGTATAAATGTCTTCTCTCTCACACCTCGTACATAAGCTTCTCAAAGTCACACTGTCTTACTCATCTTTCGATCTTCCACTGACCTCAGAGCCTTATGCTGTAAGTATTCAGGAAACAGTAACCACCTGTGCACAGCACTTTACAGCTTTATAAAGCATTTTCACATGTGCAACTTACAAATAAGTTGACGCCATGTTTATTCTGAACAAGAGCCTGGCCTACAATTTAAGACATTGTTTGATAAAAAGCAGTCATGCTATTTACTTGTGTGGCCAAATAACATGTAAATGACTGAATCTATTTACACCCCTGTGAAGTAATCCCAAGCATACTCGAGCGAGAGCTGTGACAACCGGGGTTCTCGCTCTCTCTGCTGGAGACAGACGCTGCACGACACTTCCTGGCACTGCCCAGGGAAAGGAACCAGGCGTGGGCATCAGGGGACACAAACGTGAGCACTGCACTCCTAAGGAGCCTGCATCAGAAACCTGTACAAACAGGCACAGAAGGCACAGCAGAACTGCCTGGAGATAAAACAGAGGCAGGACGCAGGGAAGAGAAGCTGCTGCATCGGAGGGGTCGAGGCTCTGGGAGGTCACTCACGTGGCCTGAAGCGGTCTGGCAGGGACAGTGGGCAAAGCCTGTGAACAGACATGTTCTGGAACTGGCGAGGGGCCTTGGTTATGCTGGAGGAATCCGACAGGAGAGGAGACAGACCGGAGGAAGGCGGGTCCACATGGGGTCCCCGGGATGCCCCGCGCAAGCTCGAAGCTCGCTGCAGGTACTGGGGTGCCACTAAAGTTCTAAGCAGATGAGTCCAGGAAAGAATATTTATCACGGGGAGAGGAGCCGGGTGAGGCCTCAGCGTTGAGAACGGGCGGGTGGGGCTGGACACTGAGTGGATGAAGGGGTTGCAGCACAAGGTGGTGCTGGAGGCTGGTACCCAGCGCCTGAGCAGACGGCGGTAATAAGGAACACCAGAGAATAAATTTGTGGGAGGAAAAGCGAGCTTTGTAGCAATAAAGTAGTTTGAGACCTGAAAACGTTCAGCAAACGGGGTAAGCCTAACTCGGGAGGAGGGCGAGCTGAGTTCGAGGAGACGACTGCCTGGGACGGCACCTGCCGTTCACAGGACAAACTGCTGTCCCGACACCTCTCCGGCCGCATCAGCAGCTCAGCCTGTGTCAGGCTTTCGCTTTCATTGGTTCGAAGTATTTTCCAATCCTTGTTCCCCTGGAAGCAGGGAGGTTAAGACGTGGGAGGGAGTAAGATCTCCCGTGGCAGATCCAGGGAGCACAGGGTTGGGAACAGAATTGTGAGGAATGCCTCTGGAAAGGGGCGGAAGAGGAAGCTGACCGAGTGAGAGAAACAGGTGCAGCCCCGACACACACACACCCTTGCCGCTGCCAGGTGACTGGGCACAGGGCCACCCAGAAGCTTCCCCAAGCTCCCTGGCAGTTCTGGCCCAGAGCTGCGTCCTGCGGCTACAATGCTACACGCCATTTCTACTTTCCTGACAAGTCTGAAATACTTGGAAATACAGGACGATCAAAAACAATCACAAATGATTATAAACCATATAAAATCATTATAATAGGAAGCCACAAAAAACAACACTCAAGCCTTCCAAAGAAAATTCTTAGCTAAAAAATTCATTTAATGGTAAACAAAAATGAGACATTAAAAACTTTTAATTAGGCAGAGAACTGTCAATACAGTGGCAACCACCATCAATCACAGAAGTATGTGTACCTCAGCGGTCAGAAGTCTTTTTGGACATTGGTTAACAGCGGCAAAAACTCTCCTGAGTCCCGTCTCTAGCTGTGTCAGTAACAACATGGCACAGTCGGCAAACCTGTGAAATTGAAGTAAAATAGGCAAATCTCAAGCTTTGAAAGTAAACACTGGCACCGACCCCAAATAACGGTGCTTTGTTCCAGATATTACCAATGTGTGATCAAGGCAAGGAGGGGTGACAGTACTCGATAACACGAGAAACAATGCAGAATCACAGTCTCCTTAGACTCGTGAGTTTAAATCTATTTTCCACTGTTCTGACACGAGGAGCTCCAGAATAAAATGTCATCAAAGATCTGCCCAATTCTTCCCACTACTTGTAAGAAATACTCAAATTCCAGGATTTGGGTGGGTTCTCAAGGTACGAACGAACGCACAGACAACAGAACCTGAAGGGAGGCAAAGGCCGTGGGCCTCACAACGTCCACGTGCATCTGCTTTGCTCCCCAGAAAACAGAGTCGAACTTACCTCCTCCTGGTTGCAGGATTCTTTAACACAGGACACACGGTTCTCTCACAGTAAGAACTCAAATGACACCGAAAAGTTGATTCCAAACAATGATTATCGGTATTGACTACACCAAAAGGCTGATGCGTAATGTTTTAGTCAGCACTGTGAAGGCATTTTAAGCTCAGCTGTCCTGGAGAGGGACCAGCCTCCTCACTTACCTGTGTGACCTAAACCCGATTAATGCAGCTTCCCAGTACGGCAACATGACCTTTAATATGAAAGTGGATTTCCTCACCACTTCTTCTAACACTGAAAGTACCTCAGAAGTAACGTCTGCAAAATAACACAGTTTTAAGCACAATCACCCTAATCAGTTGAAGAACGACGTAAGTGGACTCAGGGCAGGAGGCCCACGGGTCGTAGGTGACCGTGGCGCCCCTGGGGCAAGGGGAGGCGCACGATGGCCTCTTTATGACTCAGGCCACAGCTGTGAGGAGAGGACGTCAGGGCTGACCAGCTGACCACGCCAAGAAAAATAAGATACATTTTCAGAAGAGAGAGGAACAAGGCTCAACCCTGAGGTAAACTATGGACTCTGCCTGATGATGATGTGTCTGTGCAGGTTCATCCCTGGCAACAAATGTGCTCTGCGGTGGGATGCTGCATGTGTCAGTGCGGGAGCTTAAGGGGAATCTCTGCACCTCCCTAACCATTTTGTTCCAAACTGAAAACTGCTCTAAAAAATAGTCTTAAAAAGTACGTATTATTGGCAGCCAGCGGACTACCAAAGGGTCCGTGGCACAAAAAGGCTAAGACTGCCAGACCTAAGGGATCTGGGTTACTCCTGCCATGACTTACATCAGAGATACAGCCCTACACCCCTGTAGGAGGGGAGGTTTTATGGAGCAAAGTTTACGCAGCTTCAAGAGTTCATCTTCTCCTGCCTCTGGAGAGTAAGTAGTCCACCTAAAGGGCTCAAGTCCCCATGCCACTTCCTGACTTTATCCCTACCTTTATGAAGACACATTCAGGGGAAACTGTAAAGTGTAATACTTGCCAGGGAAAATGGCCAAATCCTCAAGGTTTGTAAGAGCTATGAAAGGTCGGTGTCCCAACACAAGTTTAGTTTGTTGCAAGTAACTCTTCAGCAGCTGACCCAATCCCACGGTCAACAGTATCATCATTGAACAGTATCTAGTGCAAAACATCACAGGATCTGTTAGAAAAATGCACTGTCACACACATAAAGAGATTTACTTTCAAAAGAACAAGTTTAAAATTAAGAAAGTACAACACCATTCAATTGCAGGTAACTCCCCCTGGCTGTGGGAATTCAGCTACACGAGGGCTGGCAGGCTCGAGAGTGCAGTTCTCAGGGTCTCCCACCCCCCAGCAGGCAGTGCCCCTCGTCACCTCTGCGAAGCTCGGCCTCACAGCTGCCTCTGGGGTGGAAGTCAGGGGGGTCCCAACCCTGTCACACACCAGGTGTTCACTGGCTTCAGTATGATCTTCAAATTCCTGCCTCAAAACTCTCATCTTTCCCCGATGTAAAATTCAAGATAAAACAAACTCTTAAGTACATCAAAGAAGAGAGAAACGTACTTTGGGGGGATCTCGTGAGGTGAGGCAAAGCCATGCCACAGGGTATTACGCAGGTTGAGTCCACATGGAGACCCGACGAAGACTTTCAGCACGTCCATCTAATCAGGTTAAGAACAGATTACTGAACAGTTAAATATTTACCGAACTACGGAATAAACTGATATAGTAGTGGGAGAACGTCTGCTTTCGTCTTTAGAGCAGACCCAACACTCTGCCTGGCATGCGGTAGTACTAGTAATCGTAATAGTATTCAAACATTACTGGGCATTTAACACGTCAAACACATTTTGTGTGTATTTATTACTCATTCATCCTCAGAACAACCTCTGAGGAGGGCACTACTATTAACCCCACTGTGCAGATGAGGAATACAAGCATGCAGAGCTGAAAGCTAGGTCTCGGGGCCATGAGCTACAGAGGGGGAGGAGATCTGTCCCAGGCTGTGCTGGTTTCATCCGGCACATCAAGCATGCCTCCTACCTAGATAAAACAAAACACGGAGTGGGGAATGGGAAATCCGCAGGAGGCAGACCCCGTGGGGAGGGGCTGGCCCACAGACGCTCCCAGCCCAGACCTCCCCTACTTAGTGTTGGCTGGAAGCTCACCATTCACCTGCTTCTCTCCTCCACTTATAAAGACGCCCACTATGGGGATCCTGCTTATCAGATGGCAAGACGCATGCATGTCCATGGGCTTGCTCTTGGTTTGGAGGGCAACACTTTGGAACAGATTCAGGATAATGGAAGATATGCAGAGACTAAAATAACTCAAAACCAAGTCATCTGAGAAGGAAGAGTGTGCCTCCTGAAGACATGGGGAAGGAAGGAAAGCCATCTTCAGATGCCTGAAGGACTCCTGCTGAGAGGAGGAAATGGATGCAGAAATCCTGAGTTTCTCTCAAAGGGCAGGACAAGCCAGAGCAGAAGTTACAAAGAGGGTTTCAACTCAGCATCAGAACCCTTGGCAACCAGTCTCTCCATGCAACTCCAGAAACTCTTCAGGCTCACATCAATTTTTAATACTTGAATAGTAACACCTAATCCTAATAATCACAATAACACTCTCTTAGCCGTATTTATTTTTAATTTAGTTTACCACTAACTTTAATTAATTGTTCATACCACCTGGGCAATCAGAAATACAGAAGCCAATGAACTAGTAGAAGGATCTGGGGCTGAGAGTGGCTGCAGGTCAGCAAGAGGCTAACAGCACCCAGACAGACAACAAACAACAGGTCAAAACACATGGATCTGTTTCAGAATTCAGTATAACTACAGGAATTTTGTACTTGGTCTTCACTCCATATTCTCCACTGAACAAAGGGCTCTTTAAGCTGACAAGGAACCACTGTAAAGTGGGAGAGCTTTACTGAAAACAGATTTCTTATCCAAAAATAGCAAGTCTAGCTGGTAACATATTACACCAGTATTTTAAACATTGTCCTGGCTCGGCAGGCTCAGCTTTGCCCAGGACGCTAACCTGGCGTTCTTCTGCACCTTGATCCTGCCTCACTCGGTTGCCAAAAGGTTACTCATTCGTCTTAAACAGCCTTGGTCACGTGGCCTGTTGAAGATTTTCACAAAGTATACAGCTCTGCATGGTTTTAAATTGGCATCTAGTTTTTTTCACTGTAAGTCTGAACAGTTGCACAACGGGATAAATTCCCACATGTTAAAAAAAAATGGATATTTTAGGATAAAACTTTAGTATCCCTCCCTAAATGGTCAAAATTTTATTCTAGAATACGTTATTATGATAATTATTAATGTATAATTAATGAAAGCAGTAGAGTTCAAATTGTTCATCCGGCTGGCCCCCCGAGGCCGTCCCACCAGAGGGTGTTATACCACGCTAAGACCCAGGATAAGAGATGTGTGTCTTGTGGCTGGAAAGTGGCAATTTTGAAAGGGGAGGTGGGAAAGGAGAATATGCTCAAATTACAGCTATCATCAACTTTTTCCTAATGCAGCATCAATTTCTGAGGAACAAAAGTAGAGCTACCATAAACGGCTTTGTGTTGTGTCTACTCTATCAGGTTTAGGTGAACAAGCTTACCACAGACCGCCCAAAGACCGCAGCAAGCTCCTCAGACGCAAGCAGATCTCTCAAAAGAAAGGGGCATTCCTTCCCATTCAGTAAATATACCTACAATTCAAACAAGGATTGTCTTACAGTTGCACTGTAATGAGCCAAACAATGTGAAGAAAAAACCCACCCATAAAGCCACTGTTTGTACAACTGAGGGAGAAAAGCACTGAAGACACCAGTGTTTTGATTTCATAATCATTGAAAAAGAAAAATATTAAACATCTGTGCCAGATGATTACATTTCATAGGAAAACAAGAATTAAAATCAAGAAATCTGAGGACAGCTGTAAAAGTCTGATGTTCATTCAGATATTTTAGTGAACCAAAGAAAGAGGTCTCACACTTACATCACCCAAAGCCCGTTCTAGACATGCCGTCAGTTTCATTAAGCCAAGAGGAATAGCGGGACATTGAAGGCTTCCCAAAGCATCAAATATTTCAGGAAATAACTGTGTAGAACAAAACATATGTTAGAATTTGTGATCAGTAAGAAACATTTCCCCAAGTATTTCTCAAGCAATACGATTTATGAAATTCAAACTTCTAAAGGTTTCAGTTGGTATATTTTCATGACTTTCTTGGTATAGGTACATATTTGTTATACAGATACACAGGTTTGGACTCCACAAGTCGGCTTACATGTGGATTTTTTCCACAAATACAGTACGGTATTGTAAGTGTATTTTTCTCTTCCTCATGATTTTCTTAATAACGTTTTCGAGCTGACTTCATTGCAAGCATACAGTATGTAATACATAAAACATCTAAAATATGTGTTAATCAACTACATTATCAGTAAGGCTTGTGGTCAAGAGTCAGCTATTAGCAGTTCAGTTCTGAGGGAGTCTAAAGTTACATGCAGATTTACAACTGCACAGGGTGGGCACCCTTAGCCCTGCACTGTCCAAGACTCAACTGTAACAATATCTAAAGAATCAAAAAAATGTTTAGTATCTAAGGAGTTTTGAACGTTTTTTTTCTTCATTTAAGTGTTTACTGAAAGCAATAAATCTGGCATAACTGTAAACTGAAAAGTCTAAGTATTTTATCCTAAATCTTATTTCCCATTCTGATTAGTTCTTAAAAGTCAATAAACGTGAGGCAGCTCAGCCTGTCACGTAAGAGCTGTTACAAGGGGAGAAGCAATGACCCTTCTATCTACATCAGGAAATTTGAAGTACTTTATAATTAGACCTTTTATAGTTACTGCCCTACTGTGGTCATTAAATGTGCCAAGTGCAATGGCTGGTTTGCACCAACCAACAAACCAGCCAAAACAAGGTTTGGGCTTGGCCCCACACTACCCCTCCTCCCTTCTACTCACCCTCCACAAGCCAAGCATCCCCACCTGGTTTCCTTTTCCCACTGTCTCAAGAACACCTTACTGTCTGTCCATAAGGTCTTTGCTTTTTTCTGGAGCAGTCCATCCTTGTCTGTCCCAGGACCAGCACCCACATACCTAGCTACTCTCCAACCCCACTATGGATAATGCAACCAAAAACTTCCTTTGTTCCAAGGATGTTTCAGGCCATGGCGACTGCATAACATTCTGAGTTTCCCTTGCATCCTTCAGGCCTTTTCACAGGCGGAGGGCTTAGTGGATGGAGGAGACCCCTTTAAGATGAATAGGTAACAAGGGCCTCTAAGCAGACTCCGCAAAGTCTTGCATTTCTAAAGGTTGTTCACAAGCCAAACCTCTGGAAAAGCTGTCCACTGCAGCCACGGCACGTATCGAATGTCAAACTCCCCCTTGGTCAGAGATAACAAATGTTGGTGGACGGCCTCACACACAGGGCCCAGCAGCCGCACAGTGCCCCGGTAATCCAGACTCTGGGCTTCAGGGATAAGAAAACCAGTGTTAGTACTACAGCTCCTCATCATGTGATGAAAATGCCTAAGCATCAAAGAAAAAGTACTTTAATTATGAAGTTTCCATGAAATCAACAACCAGTTTATAGTTGAACTTACAATAAAGATACTAAGATATTGCTGAAAATAAGTTACACAGCGGTGATCTGATAATAAAAGAAATATACACTGTTAGAAGTGTACTAGGTTGGAAAATACAAAAAGGTTAATCAAGAGAAAATATTTTCTTCACTCTACTTGTATGTAAGTTTATACAAAATCGGGTTCATACTGTATATATAATATTTTAACCTGATTTTTTTACTTGACATTATTAGACTGTGAGATTTCCAATGATGTTATTTTAGAACATATGAATTTTTTTGTTTTACTTTTTTGGTAAGTTTGAAACAACATTCACACGGCTCACACCCAGAAAATATCAAAGGGCGAAGGTCTCCCTTCTGCCACCCAGTTCTCTTTCCGACAGCAGCTACAGTTACTGATTCCTCGGGGTATTAAGAAATACTTATATGTACACAAGCAAACACAACGATATGGCCCTCCTATTCCTTCACTTAGCCCCGCGGCTCAGGGCGACAGGCTCCTCACCCCTCATAGCACCGCACGTAGCACCGCAGAACGCCTCCGTGTGCCTCTGTGGTAGTCATGCTGTGCTGGGCCATTTCCCATTCCGCTCACGGTCGGCACCGTTTGGGCCGTGTCTCCCGTTCCACTCACAATCGGCACCGTGTGGGCCGTTTCCCGTTCCGCTCACGGTCAGCACCGTTTGGGCCGTGTTTCCCATTCCGCTCACAATCGGCACCGTTTGGGCCGTGTTTCCCATTCCGCTCACAATCGGCACCGTTTGGGCCGTTTCCCATTCTGCTCACAATCGGCACCGTTTGGGCTGTTGTTTCCCATTCTGCTCACAATCGGCACCATTTGGGCTGTGTTTCCCATTCTGCTCACAATCGGCACCGAGACTACAACCCGGCATGGTCTCTCGCACCGTGCATGTGCCTGTGTTACAAACTCTGGGGCCACAGCATGTTCGCTGGCGATTCCTGTAACTATTATTAAATTTCCCAACCCACATCCCTGCTCTAAAACATGTACAACAAAGCCTGGAACATTTAAGACAGCTGTGTAACACCCTACGGGCCATTTCCTACCCAGAATTCCTAGGACCCCACTTTCTTCTCGTCGACTGTCGGCACGGAGCGAGCCTCTGACCCCGCGGCCTCCTTCTCACACAGGCCTTCCTTGGCTCCGTGCTCTGCTCTCTCTCCTGTGCTCCTCTGGCCTCATTCCCTCCCATGCCGCCTGATCCCTTTCCTCTTCTGAGCTAGGTCTGTATTGTAACAACCTCTAACTAAAAGAAACAATGGTCAGAAAGGAAAGTGTTACAGCCAAGACTCTTTAAATCGAACAACACTGACAGCTGCTTGGGGTGCAGAGAACGTACAGACCTGACTGTGTGTAAGTCACACAGGCTGTGATGCTCGGCCAGCACACCTCACCCCTCTGAGTTACAATGCCACTGATATCACAACTTTCTCTGACTTCAAACCCGAGTTTACAGATCATATCATAGACTGAGGGAGAAAGACAAGTGGTAATCGGATCCTCTATTGGCATCTGAAATATAAGACATAGAAGACACTATTTAAAAGAAGTAAAAACAGAGTAATATCAATTATATATTCAAGTTACAAGAAAATCCCATTCTACCTTAAGTACAGAATACACTTAGGTATAGCTACTGTTAACACACTTTCTGGCTATCGTGAAAGCTGTATGATTAAAATACTGTGATTAAATATTAATCAAAGATAGTTTACATAACCTTTATCAAATAAATGTTGAAGATGTGAAATTTTTAATATTTGTGAAGATAGGAGTTTACAGAAGCTTGGTACATCTTGTGGATAGTGCACTGTTCCTTTCAGGGTTCCTATACTGTCCCAAAGTTATTGAAATGACCAATTTTTTCTAATGCAGAATGGAAAAGCAGAAAATCAAGCATAATAAACTAAAATGCAAGTAAAAAGCACAGCTCTGAATCCTCACGTGGTATAAGCAGCAGCAAACCATGCTTTTACATGAAGGATTAAATAATACCAAAATCCTCATAATTATCCCGACGTTACACTAACATCATCTTATAAACCTGCAAAGGAGTCACACTCTGAGACTAAAATTATCACGGGGTCTTCATCTGCTGTATCAAGTCAAGGGCTGTGTGTCCTAACATGAGGGATTAAGCCCTAGCAGCTCCCTGGTTTGGAGGCTGGTCATCTTGAGTTCCCGCACCCTACTCAGCATCCCCGTTACACAGTTCACTCCTCCCATTGCCCAGAAGCCTCACTTCCCACTCTCAGCCCAATCTTCCACAGACCCAAGGAACGTGTGCCAAATAAGCAGTTACGCTGTGACCTACAGGGCGCACGCTGCTCAGCCGGTCAGGGACCACAGACACTGCAAGAGAGCGGGGGGGAAGATGGGACCCGCTCCTGCTGCCTGCAACCGGGGCCTTCCCCTCCAATCCCTGTCCCGTGGAGCTTCTCCTCAGCAGCAGCACAGTAGCGGAATCCAGTCTGCAGTTTTCCCAGCACCTGTAGGCCCAGCTTCTTCACCGTGCGCCCACCAGACACACCACCAGCTGTCCAGTGCCTGCTCTTCAAAGGTCTGCTTCCCAGAACTGTCAGGCCCGCCCTGTAGCTGAGCGGCACAACCTCCTCCTCCGAGATCCAAGTTTCAACTGGGTGGGACCTTCCACCACGTCTCTAAGTTGTAAGATCCCAACCACTGCCCTGGTTCTCTCAGCGTCCCACAAGGGAGTGAGTGAGCCCTGCAGCCGCCAAGTCCAAAGTCCTTGTAGACATCTCTTCTTGCTCTTTCTGTAACAACTCTACACTGTTAACTCTTAATTCTCTTCCTTCAAAGCCTGGTGTGGTTTGTCTTGCCTGATACAGAAATGTAATCCTAAAGGGTTACTCTGATATCAAAAGGGACTCCTTGCATTTTTAAAAAAGCATCTGAACTCTAAGCAAGGAGCGCTGGTTCTGGAGTGACAGGCGGCGGGCAAACGTATGTTTGCACAAAAGCCCATCTACTCCATTACTGCAGGCCCGGGATACGGCAACAGAAGCTTCAGGAAAGGTCCTCTTTCGGCTGTATTCGCCCGTGCAATACAGCTACCCTGCAGCCTTAACCGAACTGTAAGATCCTAGGGCACCAAGGTCGGGTCTTACACGGAACATACCCCCAGCACACAAGAAACGAGAGTCAGCTGAGTCATCGATGGCTCGTCCCTCCTGGAGCCGAAGGGAACGCGCTTCTTCAAGTCGTTAAAACCTCAGCTTTGGGGACTAACAATACCCTACCCCTACCAAGAGACACAGCATTCGAGAAGCTGACTTTTAGTTAACTTTCAAGCACATATTGTCTTGAATAATTAACCTGTTAATTAGGAATAAAATCCTACTTCAAATCAGGAAACACTAGATACTGCAATACCTTGACTCATGACCTTACGTCTTCCTGTTAGTTATGAACGCGCCTCTCCTCCCTCCCCGCCGTCTGCGCGCGCGCGTACAAGCGCGTGCGCGTGTGCGTGCGCGCGCGCGTGCGCGAGCGTGTGCGTGCGCGCGCACCCACCCCTACCTTTCCTCCTTGATGCCCCAGTGTCTCGTCCAGGGCAGCGTGGGGCGGTGCAGGTGACCTATGCTCAGAACGTTCAGTCTGAACTCTTCTTCAGACTCCTTGTACCACTGGCTTTGAAGCATTCTGAGCCTCCGTTTTAACTGTAAACGGTACAGGATGTAATCTAGTGTTGCAGTAATTACAGATAACACTGCAAAGTGTCTCACGCACAGCACTCAAAAAACAGTAGCGCTTGCTAAAAGTGATGACAGATGATTGTATTTAATTGCACGAGGACAGGAAATAAAACCCTATGAGGCAACCCGTATAACGCGATCTACGGCCATTGGCTCTGTTGTGATTTAGTTTTGTAACCAAAATGGCCTAAAAACGTCTTATTTCAATTTAGCAGGACCACCCGCAGGCTGGGCGCCACACCGGCGCGGGCGCGGAGAAGGCTTCCTCCGAGCCCGAGACCGCTGCACACACGCGCGAAGCGGCCTGCGGCGACCCGGCGGCTGCCCCGCCCGCGAGCGGAATGCCACATTCACTCTTCCGCCACCGGCTCGCGGATTTCGGCCTGGGGCCTGGGAGGTGCGAGAACTGCGCCGCGGAGGCATCGGGCGGCCGGGGAGGCGCCGGGGCGAACGAGGGCGGGCGCTGCGTCTTCGTGTCCGGGTCGGGTGCTCATCCTCTCGCCAGCCGCGGGCGAGGGCCTGGAGGGCCGACCTGCTCCCGCGGCGGCGCCTGCGCAGACACCGCGGAGGCCCGGGGGCCGCGGCGGCCGCTGCGCCTCTCCCCGCCCGCCAACAGCGCGCTCGCGTGCCCACCGGCACCCCGCTTCCGGGCCGCTCCGCCTCCGTCACTCCCAGCTACCGGCAGGCGGCGCGGCGGGATGACGCACACCTCGCCCCGCCCGCCCCTCCCTCCCGGGCGCGCTTCTGGCCGGCGCGGCGCAGGCGCGGGACTTGAAGTCTCGCGGGAAGCAGCCGAGGCGTTTGGGGCGGGTGGAGGCGGGCCGTTGGGCGTGGGGCAGCGCCGGCAGCATGGAGAAACGCGGGCGAGGCGGGAAGCCGTCTTCGAGTACCGCGTCTCAGCCGCCGCCGCCGCCGCCGCCGCCGCCTCGGAGGGAGAGGAGGCCCAGCATGTTCGAGAGGGAGGCAGTGAGTGCGGAGGCGGGGCCAGAGCGCGGTGGCGGGCGGCGCGGGGCTGGTGGCGGGGAGCGCGCCGCCGCCCTCGTGCGCTCCTCCCCCGCGCTCCCGGGGCTCGCGCTCGCCCCCGGCCTCCCTCTCC